ATGGGCCATTGCAGCCCGACTCAGAGCACCAGTCATCAATGTTTGCTACTAGTATTGCTATCACCACTATTACTTCTACTACTGCCACTAATCCTTATACCCAAACCGGTATTACTGGCACTGCTGTTTGCACTCATCATCTTAAGGTTTTTTCCTTTCTGGAATCGCCAACTGTGTAGGTTCAATCAAGATCCCTCGATCGACATCCTTCTCCTCACCACGTCGATCGGTGGCCTGGGCCTGAACCTCACCGGAGCTGACACTGTTATTTTCGTAGAACACGACTGGAATCCCTGCAAGGATTTGCAGGTAATCTTTCTTTTTAAATGTCTAAATGCATTCTGTCAACAATACGGGAAATGCGAACGCCAAGCTCCACTCCGCTGCACTCACCGCCTCGTTCATAAGTGGCAGAGATGTTAAACTGTGACTAGCGCACGAACGGTTATCTGTGGCCCGGAACTCTTGCACGGAATTGACAGAAGTGAGATGTGGATTGATTTGTCGAAAGTTTTTCCCCGCACAGCAGTTTTTGTCCTGTGACGCCGGTTTCGCGCTCAAAAAATAAGACGGCAAAAGTAAGTTTTGTAGCGTACGTTAAATGCCCCTTACTCCAACATTCTGCCCTTTGGGACGGGTGGTAATAGGGAGTTTGTGGGTGGAGCCTCATGGGGGCACAGGGGAGAAAAGCTTGTTATAATAAGCTGATGTATACAACGAACAAGCGCGCGATTATGGAAGAATAAACGAAAAACAATTCTCGCCAATTCGGACGTAAATCGAATCCGATGGTTGGAAAAATTGAGTTTTAATCGAATGCAAAAAAGAATCCGCGGTTGCGTAGTCGTTAACATAGGCAAAAGTTTTTGTAGATTACTAAAGGTTTCTCTGTGGGCAGTGCAATACGCTTAAGTAAAGTTAACGAGGTATGGAAACGCCGTAGAAACGATCAAACGGTCGCATGATAACCCAGCGAGGAACGGTAACAACGCAGTTTCGTGGTACAGAACTTAGGCAAAGTCTTTGCTGATTACTAAAGGTTGCCGTGTGGGGAGTACAATGGCCCAAGGTTAAGTAACCCGGTAAAAAGGTAAAACAAAGTGCACCAATCTTCAGCAATGAGATGGAATGCGATGAGCTCTAATATGGGCGAATGCGATTGAAATAGAGATACATACCTTCGTCTACTAAAACGCATCTAGTAGTTATTTAAGTATGGTTAACGTACGTGCACAAAATAACCAACTCTTATCGGCAAGACCTTGTATACCTAATTAGAGATGCGATCCAGGCGGCGGCGTTGATCGCTCAAGGCTGCAATATGACAGACTTCTTCGGTTCCAGACTGTTTGCAGCCCTTTAGGCCCTCAGATATTTTTACGGAAACTTAGCTTTCAGGTCCACCTTAAATTGCGTTTGACGTGCCATTACCGACTGAACTAATGCATGCCTCTACCGTCATCCCTCTAGGCAATGGATCGTGCCCATCGAATCGGCCAAGAGCGGATGGTAAACGTCTACCGTCTCATTACTGCGGACAGTATTGAGGAGCGCATCATGAGTCTGCAGGTGTTCAAGCTGCACATTGCGCGCACAGTGGTCTCCGAGGAGAATCAGTCCATCACGGAGGCGGACACGGGCCGCATCTTTGATAATCTCGTCTACTCCTCATCGGCGACCGGTGCCGCTTCGTCGTTTGCTGGCACC